AGGTCGAGGGTTGACATGTTGTGGGGTTGTTAACCAATGTCATAAAACAATATGTGTACTACTGTTTCATGAGAAACTATTTGTTCTGTAAGCCTCCACCTGAAGTACAATAAAAAAAAAATGAAAAAAATAAAAGACTTTCAAGATATATTGTTAAGAATAAAGCAAGTCGTGAAACAAAAATGCGACTATCCAAGTAAATCATACAGATATAAAAGTCACTATGCATATGTATGTGTGTACACACACATAAATACATACCTATAAATATATTTGTATATAAACGTACATCAATGTATGTATTATGTTTTACAAGGCTATACACAAAACTGATAATGGCTTTTACCTTTGGAAAGAGGACTGAGTTTTGCGGGCATGATGCAGTCACAGAGGACTAAACTTCAGGTCTATGTTTGAATATTTTCTTTTCCATCAAGAATATATTAATGTGCACCAAAAACACAATAAAACATTGCATATAAAAAAGAATATATTAATGTGCTTATACAATCAGAAAATAAAAACAAAAGTCTATATACCGCCGTTCTATCATGGGAGAGGAAAAAATGTTTATAAATGTGAGACTTACTTGGTATGCTACTTCATATAAACAGCCATCCTTTCCAGCCAAGAAAATTCTGCCACTATCAGTGGAAGTTATCGTTAAAAGATAAGTATTATCAGTGGGAAGAGAATATAAAGGATCTGGAAGCAACTGCATTCCACCAGACATACTGTCATTAAGAACTCCAGAACCTATTTTGTTTTTAAAGACAGAAAACAGGAATCGGTTTATCACTTTTTTTAAAGTTTAAAACAATTCCTGCATTATCTTCAGAATTGATATTCTCACTGAATTCTTACTGAAGTATTCAAAGGCTTTTATAGCACACATTTCTAAATTACTATAAAGTTTTAGATACAAATAATTTGATAATTCAAGTTAAATAAAACCTACTACATATATTCATACTTGCACACATGCGGTCGTGTGCACCACAGACACACACACACACAGTAAAACATCAAACAAAAAACTAACCCAAAGTATTAAATTTTGGAAAAGAGCCTGAGGGCATGGAAATAATAATCACTAATTTGAGTCACTGAAAGTAAACATTATTTCACCCAAACAGATTGTCAGAATACAAAATAAACCTTAAGTGTGTTTGTAATAAATTGAGAGCATCTTATTTTAAGGGTAAAAAAGATAACATATTACATTTCAGTGCTCTACATGTTAAAATGGCCGTTAAAAAATTAGAAACAAAGAAATAAAAGGCATTATTAAAAAACTCACTAGTCTAGTATCAATTACTTCTGTTCTATTACCCTGCAGTTATGTTAGACATTTAAGAACTACAAATTAATATGGTATATATAGCCAAAATACTTCTTTTTTGGTGGAGCAACTAACCTGAAAGATCCTGTATCTATACGGAACTATTATTCTCCTGCAAGCTAATAGGCTGGAGAGTTAACTTAGTGAGACAGGTTAGTTTTAAACTATAATATTACATTGTCCAACATATTAAAAAAAAAAAAAAAAGTGGATTGCCATACCTGTTTGTAAATTAGCATAGCTGAGTCCAAGAATCACTATATCCACAGGAGTTGCTAAAACCAGGAGGTGTCGTACATGAGGCTGAAAGATACCTAAGATAAAGTAAGTAGATATGGAGTTGGAATTATTTTCAGAAAAACCTCTAGTACTTAAGCGTTAGTTGAACATGGTGTTACTGTTAAAATGAACTAGTGGTTGAATAGTATATGAAAAGTCTAAATCCGGTTAATTTTGATAAACATTTTAAAATGTCTATAAAACATTTAAAAATTACTACCTATGATCATTTAAGTAAATAAATAATACTACCAAAAAAATCACCTTAGGAAATATCACTTCAGTATTGAACACCATTTAAGATCTGTGTTAAGTTACAAAATCATTTAGGTTTATTAAGATACAAAGATTTCATTTTGGAAATAAGGTATAGGAAACAAAATTTAGACCTACAGTTATCTCTTGGGCAAAATAGTAGGACCTTGATAGAATCTAGAGGAAATTTAACCACTTAGGTTCATCTTTTAGAGAAGAATGAATTCTTCTCCCAAATGGGTTTATATCTCAAAACCAGATAAATTTGAGTTTCAGAAGGGGCATAAAAACAAGGACAAAATACATTTTCCACTTACTTTGAATATTTTTGGAAAAAATAACATCAATTTATGCTAAGGTATTGTTTAAGGTATTATGGCATGAGATGGTATGTACAATTATTACTGTCATGTTATGACATCCAAAAATACTGTCTCATGTCAAGAAAAGGTTTACACAGATAAACAAATTTTTTTTTGATGGTTACCAGGGAGGGGAGAGGGAGGGAGGGAAAATCACTAACTAGAGAGTAGACACGTGTTCACTGTGGTGAAGGGAAAGGCAATATACAATATGGGTGAAGTAAGCACAACATATCCAAGACAAGGAAAGACACAGAGAGGTACAGAAGAATAAAAGACAACAAAGGCAAATACTATAACATACATCACCCTGCAACAACAGTAATACCAAACAATAATTTATGACTGGATATGCAGCTAGATATGTATGCTGAATAGATGTGGGAGGGTTATGGGTGTACACTCACATGCGTATATAGGTTTGCCTATGGATATTTCTGCATACATATTTGTATGTACTGCATGTCTATTCATATATATAATACAGCACACAGGGGGCACAGTCATGGAAACAACCTAGACATAACCAAATACCTTGAGGGACTGAGTTACTGGGCTTGAAGGCTAAGGACCATAGTCCTGGGGGACATCTAGGTCAATTGGCATAACATAGTTCATAAAGATAATGTTCTACTATTGGTCCCATCCTATCTGGAGCAAAGGAGAATGAAGAAAACCAAAGATACAAGGAAAATATTAGTCTGAAGGACAAATGGACCACATGAACCACAGCCTCCACCAGCCTGAGCCCAGAAGAACTAGATAGTGACCGGTTACCAATACCAACTGCTCTGACAGGGATCACAACAGAAGACCCTGGACAGAGTGAGAGAAAAATGTAGAACAAAATTCAAATTCACAAAAAAAGACCAGACTTACTGGTCTGACAGAGACTGGAAGAACCCCTGAGACTATGGCCCCCAGACACCCTTCTAACTCAGAACTGAAGCCACTTCTGACATCTACCTTTCAGCCAAAGATTAGACAGGCCTATAAAACAAATATTACCACATGTGAGGAACATGCTTCTTAGGTCAAAGAAGTATACAAGACAAAATGGGCAACACCTGCCCAAAAGCAAAGACGAGAAGGCAGGGAGGGATAGGAAAACTGGATGAATGGAAACAGGTAACACGGAGTTGAAAGAGGGAGAGTGCTGACACATTGTGGGAATTGCAACAAATGTCATGAAATAATCTGCGTATAAATTTATGAATAAGAAACTAATTTGCTCTGTAAACTTTCATCTAAAGCACAATTAAAAAAAAAAAAAAAAGAAAACGTTCTATATCCTACTTTGGTGAGTAGCATCTGGGGTCTTAAAAGCTTGTGAGTGAGCATATAAGATACAACTATTGGTCTCTTTCCGTCCGGAGCAAAGGAGAGTGAAGAAAAAGAATCAAGGAAACAATTAGTCCAAAGGACTAATGGACCAAAGGAACCACAGACTCCACCAGCTTGAGACCAGAACTAGATGGCGTCCGGCTACCATTAATGACCGCTCTGACCAGGATCACAATAAAAGGTCCCAGTTAGAGTAGGGAAAAAAACAATGTAGAACAAATTCAAATTCATGAAAAAGACCAGATTGATTGGTCTGAGAGAGACTGAAAGAACCCCTGAGACTATAGCCTTTAGACACCCTTCTAACTTGCAACTGAAGTCATTCCTGGAGATCATCTTTCAGCCAAATAATAGACAAACTCGTAAATAAACAATAACACACGTGAGGAAAGTGCTCCTTAGAACAATCATCTACATGAGATGGCAAGGACGACATATGCCCCAAAGCAAAGATGAGAAGACAGGAAAGGGCAAGAAAACTGGACAAATGGAAATGGGGAACTCACGGTAGTAATGGGGAGAGTGCTGACACATTGTGGAGTACAACCCATGTCATGGAACAATTTCTGTAAAAACTACTGTCATGGATTGAATTATGTCTCCCCAAAAATGTGTGTATCAGTTTGGCTGGGCCATGGTTCCTGGTACTGTGTGATTTTCCTATATGTTGTAAATCCTGCCTCTATGATGTTTATGAGGGAAGATGGGTGGAAGTTGTGTTAGTAAAGCACCACTCAATCTACAGGATACTGTGTCCTGAGGCAATCTCTTGAATACAAGAGAGAAATGAGCAGAGAGACAGGGGGACCTCATATCACCAAGAAAGCAGCACCAGGAGCAAAGTGTGTCCTTTGGACCCAGGGTCCCTGTGTAGAGAAGCTCCTAGTCCGGGGGAACATAGATGAGAAGGCTGACAGAGAGAGAAAGCCTTCCCCTGGAGCTGACGCCCTGAATTTGGACTTTTAGCCTACTTTACTGTGAAGAAATAAATTTCTCTTTGTTAAAACCATCTACTTGTGGTATTTCTGTTATAGCAGCACTAGATGACTAAGACAACTACTGAATGGGAAACTAATTTGCTCCGTAAACCTTCACCTAAAGCGCACGTATGTGCGCGCATGCGCGCGTGCACACACACTGTGTCTCACTAATAAGAGTAAAAGGAAATATACAATACCATTATGATTATAGACTTCTCTATGTGTATACATTTGGCCTACTTAAGGTTGTTGAATATCATAGAAAATACAACAAAGCTTATATTCTCATTTGGTTTTAATTTCACTGATGAATGTTAAAGGGTACAAAAAGCCACAGCTTTTTTTGTTGTTGTTCAAGTCAATAAAGCTGAAGGCACACAGCTTCTACTTGAATGACCTCAAAATACACATGACTTTTCAGGATAAACTGATTTAAAAATCTTAAGCTTTACGAATACTTGCTTTCCCGTAACGAAGTCCTATCTTGAAACATTCAGTCACTATGCTATGCAAAGAAGTCATTTTTGATTACAGAAACTTTAGTGAAGTTGGAATTTCATAAACCAGGTGGAGCTGGTTTATGATTTGGGATATCAAGACTAAAACTATGCAGACGAAAACGCTTTTTACAATAAATTCAGTAATTGATGAAGAGTCTGTAATTTAAAAAACTTCAAGTAAATCAAGAAAACAACAAAAAGTCAGATAAAAATGCAGGAATTATAGTTTAACACTTTTAAAGGCAGACTCACTTATACCATTAAAGTGAGTAAACTATATTAATTATTCCTAGTGATTTTATATAGTTCTATTTAGAATTAATTCAGAAAAAAACTTCAGTAGGAAATTCAACTATTTAAAATGTGTTTTCATTCACTCCTAAAATATTTGGAGTCTATGCATATCCAAAAACATAACCTCATCCTTGTATTTTTATTTCTTACCAGCTTTTGGTTTCACAAGCCCCACAGCAAGAATAGTCTCACTAAGTCCATCAAAATAGGCAAGGTCTCCTCTGTCAAAAGTTGAAGAAAAACATGTTACACATATAAATAAAAATGGGGTTTCACCTCACAATATTCTTCACTACAAGAATATAGAATATATATTAAAAAACCAAACAAACCCATTGCTGTTGAGTCAATTCCAACCTATAGCAACCCTACAGAACAGAGCAGAACTGCCCCATAAGGTTTCCAAGGAGTGGCTGGGGGATTCAAACTGCCAACCTTTTGGTTAGCAGCCTGAACTCTTAACCAGTGGGCCACCAGGGCTCCAGGTATACATAGAATATAATAAAAAATAAACCAGAAAATAAAAATTCTTTCAGTCCTGAGACTCAGGGACACAAGAACTGCCTAAGGCTGAGTATGAGCCCTGCTCTCAACACCACCTCCCTGACCAGGCTGTAAGCATCAAGTATCAAATCACAGCAATCTACCACTGGAGAAGGGAAAGAATATGCAGAGGGCACAGGCTCACAGGGAAAGTCTAACGCTGAAGGTGAAACAGGACCATTAAGACAACCTCTCCATCAACTCAAGGTGAACTTAAAGCCTATGATGTATCGAGAGTAAACACATTAACAACAAAATCCAAGACCTATTTAACTCCCGCCTTCAGAAAAGTTACTCCCCTCCTCCAACGATAAAGGCTAACCTGCTTTGGAAGAGAAGCATACCCACTGTATCAGCAGACTTGATACAGTCAAGGAAAGAATCAGTGAACCTGAAGTTAGGTCAACATAAATTGCCCAAATTAAGATCACTAAAAGAAAAAAAAAAAAACTGTAAAAAAAAGAAAACCAGAACAGAGCACCGGGACATCAAACAGTCTAACAAAAATGCAAGTAAAAAGGGCCATGCAAAAAAGAAAGATCTAAATGGCAACTTATGCAGACGAGATTGCCCCATTTTTTAATGCTCTGGCATTATATAAGCCCTTTCGATAACTGGCACAGCCCCCAAACTGAGAAAGAGGAAATTGGGGAACAATGAATTAAACCAGATTAAGTTTCTGCTATCCAGATGGAATTAGGACTTAAAATAGAAAGTTAATAGAACAATTGAGACTAAGTCTAGTTGAAGTTTTTGCAGAGCTGAATTTGTGGACTAAAGATTTATACCAGTATATATGCCTTGACGTTTTCGATAAGCATATCCTTCAAATGAGTTCTACTGTGAATACACAGCAAAGTTGGACTGTAAGTTCCACGTGGATAGAGACCACATTTTCTCACTCAGTATTATTCCTAGCACAAGAACAGTGCCTAACACATAATAAACCAAAATCAGTAAACCACTGCCATCAAATTGATTCTGACTCGTAGTGACCACAAAGGACAGAGTAGAACTGCTGTGTATGGTTTCCAAGGAGCAGCTGGTGGATTCGAACTGTTGACCTTTTGGTTAGCAGCTGAGCTCTTAACCGCTGCACCACCAGGGCTCCTAACACATACTAGGCGAAATAAATATTTGTTAAACGATGAATAAGCTGTTAATGAAAATGTGACAAATTTCATTAAAGTAAAAACCTTTTTTAAAGAAAATAATTATTCTCACATTTATCTACTCTATAATAATTTTGCATTGGGTTTTCTTGAATATACACGCCTAAATGAAGAGGTTTTACTCCTTAGTATAAAAATGAGTATGTTATGGCAATAAAACAAACTGGGTCAAGGTGATTAATGCACAGGGATATGAAATGTAATCACAAACATACATCCCTGCTATTACAAAATTTCAACAATAAAAATAATTATGACATGCTCATAGATAGGTAGATTCAACACTGTGAAAATGACAATTCTACCCAAAGCAATCTACAAATACAATGCAATCCCAATCCAAATACCAACAACATTCTTTAAAGAGATGGAAAAACTAATCATTAACTTTATATGGAAAGGGAAGAGGCCCCGGTTAAGTAAACTACTATTGAAGAAGAAGGATAAAGTTAGAGGACTTGCACTACCTGACCTCAGAACCTACTATATAGCTACGGTAGTCAAAACAGCCTGGTAATGGTACAACGACAGATACACTGACCAATGGAACAGAACTGAGAACTCAAGTGTAAATCCATGTACCTACGGTCACCTGATCTTCAACAAGGGCCCAAAGTCCATCAAATGGGGAAAAGAGAGTCTTTTTAACAAATGGTGCTGGCAAAACTGGATGTCCATCTGCAAAAAAAATGAAAGAGGACCCATACCTCACACCATACACAAAAATTAATTCAAAATGGATCAAAGATCTAAGTATAAAACCAAAACCTATACAGATCATAGAAGAAAAAATAGGATCAACGCTAGAGGCCCTAATACACGGCATTAACAGGATACAAACCACAACTAACAACACACAAATTCCAGAAGATAAGCTAGATAACTGGAATCTTAAGCACTTACGCTCATCAAAAGTCTTCACCAAAAGAGTAAAAAGAGAACCTAAAGACTGGGAAAAGAATTTTTGGGTACGACAAATCTGACAAAGGTCTAATCTCTAAAATCTACAGGATATTCCAACATCTCTACAACAAAAAGACAAATAATTCAATTAAAAAATGGGCAAAGGAAATGAACAGATACCTCACCGAAGACATTCAAGTGGCTAACAGACACATGAGGAAATGCTTGCGATCATTAGCCATTAGAGAAATGCAAATCAAAACCACAAAGAGATACCATCTCACCCCGGCATTACTGGCAGGAATCAAAAAATAGAAAATAATGAATGTTGGAGAGGCTGCTGGGAGACTGGAATTCTTACACACTGCTGATGGGAATGCAAAATGGTACAACCATTTTGGAAAACAATCTGGCACCTCCTTAGAAAGCTAGAAATAGAAATACCATATGACCCAGCAATCCCACTCCTAGGAATATATCCTAGAGAAACAAGAGCCATCACACGAATAGACGTACGCACACCCATGTTCACTGCAACATTGTTCATAATAACAAAAAGATGGAAACACCCAAGATGTCCATCAACAGATGAATGGATAAACAAACAATGGTACATACACACAATGGAGTACTATGCAATGGTAAACAATGATGAATCTGCGAAGTATCTCACAACATGGATGAATCTGGAGGGTGTTATGCTGAATGAATAAGTCAATCATAAAAGGACAAATATTGTATGAGACCACTACTACAAAAACTCATGAAAAGCTTTACACTCAAAAAGAAACAATATTTGATTGTTATGGGGCGGGGGTGGGGATGGAAAAACACTAAATAGACAATAGATAAGTGGTAACTTTGGTGAAGGGTAAGACAGTACACAATACTGGGGAAGCCGGCACAACTTGTCCAAGGCAAGCTCCAGAGACATATCCAAACTCCCTGAAGTACTGTGGGGACCATGGTCTCAGGGAACATCTAGCGCAACTGGGTCTTAAAAGCTTGTGAATGGCCATTTTAGACACTCCACTGGTCTTACCCTGTAGAGAGCAAGGGAGAATGAAGAAAACTAAAGACACAGGGGAAAGATTAGTCCAAAGGACTAATGGACCACAACTACCACAGTCTCCACCAGACTGAGTCCAGTACAACTAGATGATGCCCGACTACCACCACCGACTGCTCTGTCAGGGATCACAATAGAGGGTCCCAGACAGGGCTGGCGAAAAATGTAGAACAAAATTCTAACTCACAAAAAAAGACCAGACTTACTGGCCTGACAGAGACTGGAGAAATACTGAGAGTATGGCCTCTGGGCACTCTTTTAGCTCAGTAATGAAGTCACTCCTGAGGTTCACCGTTTCAGTCAAAGATTAGACAGACAGGCCCATAAAACAAAATGACACAAAGGGGCACACCAGACCAGAGGCAAGGACTAGAAAGCAGGAGGGGACAGGAAAGCTGGTAACAGGGAACTCAAAGTCAAAAAGGGAGAGTGTTGACATGTCATGGGGTTGGTAAATAATGTCACAAAACAATATGTATACTGTTGTATGAGAAGTTAGTTTGTTCTGTAAACTTTCATCTAAAGTTAAAAAAAAAGATTTACAGGTTGCAAAAAAAAAAAAAAACCTATGAAAACAACAGCAAACAAAAACTGTTTCATTTAAGATACACGTTTTCATTAAGTGTCAATTCTAACCCAATGATACAATCTTTTGTGTGTGTGTTCCTAAGAATTACATTAATTATTCAGGGGCAAGAGTAACATCTTAACTATATGGACCTTGTATTGTTATCCCAAATCTAACCTAAAGATTATAGAGAATTGGAAGTAAGCAGAAATGTATCTCAAACAGCCACGAGGGAGATCACCAAGTCATTATCTTTAAGCAAGAGTGCCTTGGGCCTTCACTCAGACACTATTATATACCTTTAATTTGCAGGAAAGATCAAGCCCACAGAATGACAATAAAATTGTTAAGTCACTTCAATTAATTATCAAACTCCCACTCCAAAAGAAAAAGAGGTCTTAAAAAATGTCAAACCATTTCTCAAAGAATTACTGATAATACTATCTTTATACAAGATAAAAGGAGCCCTGGTGGTGCAGTGGTTAAGGGCTGGGCAGCTAACCAAATGGCCAGTGGTTCAAATCCACCAGCTATTCTGTGGGAGAAAGATGTGGTAGTCTGCTTCCATAAAGATTACAGCCTTGGAAACCCTATGGGGCAATTCTACTCTGTCCTATAGGGTGCTATAAGTCCAAATAGACCCGATAGCAATAGGTTCTGTTTTTTTTTTAAAAAAAAAATACAAGATAAAAGCTCAAGACCTACACCCTAGCTACTGAGTAGTAGCCAGCACTACCTGGGAGCTTCTTAAAAATGCAGACTCTCGGGCCTCACTCAGAACTACTGAAACAGAATCTACATTTTAACAATATCCCCAAGTGATTGATATGCATATTAATTAAGAAGCACTAAGCCAGACATTAGATAAATGAAAGAGAAATCAGGTAGCTTCCAATGAGACCACGAGCCAAGATAAAGATGACATAAATTCTAATCATGCTAAAGCAAAGCCAGCTTTAAATACATACCCATCTTCATAGTTCCACATGAATATATCACTGTCAATTGTAAGCCAAGCTCTGCTGATGGGAGGGAACACTCCCATCATGCAGTTACACTGCATATCTGAGATAGTGTGGATGTAAGGTAGAAAGATTTCAATCTCATCTTTCTTAAACTTGTTTCAAAAGCTTTTGGTTGAAAATTAATGATTAAAATATCATAAATTTATCCACTCTTTAACATAAATAACAAATGGAATACCTTAGCCATAGTGTACGAGAAACACTTAAAATTTTACAATTGCTAAGTAATGCTAACTGACCATTTAAAATGTTATTTTTTAATTGTAAAAAAATACAGAACATGTTTGCCACTTCAACGTTTGTCATGTGTACAATTTAGCGACATCAATTATGTTGTACAGCCATCCTCATTGGTTAAAATGTATTTTGAAAGACAATGGTAATGTTCTTACCATTACCAAGTTCAAAAAAATAATAATTATGAATATCACTGATTTTTGATATTAAAAAAACTATCTTATTCTCAACAGTAACAAAAACCAAAAAATAAAACTATCTTACTGGACCAGTTTTTACAGCAGTAAAAGAGCAACAGTGACAAAAAGGCACATATTACCCTAAAGTCATAGCCAGGTGACAATTTGCAAGCCTCTTATAAATAATGCAATTGAAAAATAGATGAAAAACTATGTTCTGTAATATAAGACAATGAAATAACCATGAAAATAAAATCACTTCCTAATTTAAAAAAATGTCTCATGAAGAGTATAATATCAAAGGATTAAATCAAAGGGTTAAAGAAGAATATTAAGGAACCAAGAAAGCGCAGAGTATGGGATAAAGTGCATTATATATTTGACAATACTATTTTACAAAAACTCAGAGAAACACTGAAAGCTTTAGGGAAAATATCTATTAGATAATGCTAATTTTTCTACTTACTTCAGAAATATTTTTCCTAATTTTCCATTTCCTTTCCCTTCCTAAATCACTCTGTATTGAAATCATAATAATTCTTTACTTTTAAATAAATTAATATACTTTAAAAAGTCTCAGATTAAGTTTTTGTATAGCATCTTGATCTCTTTATAATGAGAGATACAGATTCATTTAAATGCTTTCTAGCAAATAACTGTAAGCCTGGGGCTTTTTATAGGGTATGCCGTATTTTAAGATAAACAAAATCTTTATTTTTAGAGGGTAAGAAAATTCCTCTAGCTACTCGGTCTAGAAAATATGCCATTAGTATCGGAGTTTCTCATACCTTGAGATACAGATTCTTACTACGATCCTTAGAAATGCAATCATTTCTAAACTTCCTCAATTCTAAGACAATGTTAAGTGTAAAAGCATACCAACAACTTTTTTTAAGAGAAAAAAGAAATACCTGGCAGTTTTTTGTTTGTTTTGAACATTTTGAGCCACATCCGAGTTTCAAAATGTTAAAATATGAGAACAAAAACACAAGTCTTTACAATGAAAAACTGTGGTAGTAAAAATGTCCCCGTATAGCACTTAGTTGGAAAGTAATACTTTGCAATAAATCATTAAAAAATGCAGTTAATTTTAAACAATTCATTCTCTTAAATGTGCCCAAACAATTAAAATGGGACTCAATTTCCAAAATCAAATTTTATACAAAAATTACTAGGCAAACTGCAATCTACCCATATACTTCAATGTATTTTAAATAAAACCTTTAAATGAACTTAAATATAACATAAACACAAAACAATTATAATAATGAGAATACGAATTTCAACACTTTCTAAACGGTTAAATAGAAAGTAATAGGATACGCCCAAACTGTTCAACAAGTTCAGGTGGGAGAGGAACTCTTCGGATGGAACTGATCTCTGGAAGGTTAGGTACTGACAGCAAACCAGGTCCTTGTAAAGGATAATCCATATCTGACATTCCAGAAACAGTGGGATTATCTACAAAAAAAATAAAATGAAGCACTTATTTAAAATAACAAAGTTTTACTCATCAACTGGGCATATAAAAAAGCATTACAAGCTACAAAAAAACTATGTATCTAGTGGCTCTAAAGGTAAAGAGAAAAAGTAGTTCTGGCCTGACAATCAGCAGACCTGAGAAGTTCCATTGCTAAAATGCAGCAGTTACTGATTTCAGCCCTGAATGAAAGACTATCTTTCACAAACTTACTCCATAACAAAGAAAATGTTTGTTCAATAATTTAGTTTCTTCTTATTTTATTAATCCAAAATTAGAAAATATTTATAAAACTGCTTTGAGATTTTAATAAAAAACAATTGTGGGCAAACAAAATACTGAATGGAGGATAAGCACCCTTAAACATTTATAGATTAAAACAATCTATGCCTTTTCCTCATTAATTTCTCCTCCGTGCTATTACCCTAATTTTACTAGACTGATTAATCAAGTGGAATACAAATACAAATAATAACATAAAAGCACTATTTTATTGCAGAACAAACCACAGACAACTCTATATAAAGTGTTCTCATTGGTCAGCTTTTCTCTTGCTCCAAGACCCAGATCACTAAGGTCATGAGCCTAGTTCAGCCTCTTCTGCCTGGTCCTGAACAAGGTATTTGCTAGACCTCAGTGATGACCTACTGAAGGACCCCCAGTAGCACAGTGGTTAAGCATTTGGCTGTCAACCCAGAGGTCAGAAGTTGCAACCCACTAGCTGCTCTTCAGGAGAAAGATGTGGTAGCCTACTTCCATAACGATTACAGGCTTGGAAACCCTATAGGGCATTTCTACTCTACGCTATAGGGTCAATGCAAGTTCAGGATCATCTCTGTGGCAATGGGCTTTTCTTTTTTTGTTTAGAGTACAAAGACGCTGGGGGAAACAAACATATGCAAGAACTTAAAAAAATATTATTACGGAAATTAAAAAGTTTATATACACAGAAAGAGAAAGATATAATCAATCCCTAAGTACTGATTGCTTATTAAAGTAGACAGTGTGCGAAAAAGAGGAAGACTCTCAACGAGGTGAATTGACACAGTGGCTCCAATGATGGGCTCAAGCATAGCAACGATTGTGGGGATAGTGCAGAACCAGGCAGTGTTTCATTCTGTTGTACATGGGGTTGCTATGACCGACTCGACAACACCTAACAAGTACTGATTACCCACTTTTAATAATTATCAACACATTCCAATCATGTTTCATTTATATCACTATGCACTCCTTTCCCGACAGATTACTTTGAAACAAATCCCAGACATTCTACTTAATCCTAAAACATAATTTTAATAGAAAATTCCAAGTGACAAATGGCAATGGGAAGCACGAAAGATGGAATCAGTAACTTTGGTGAGAATGGGAATGGTTAAGAAAGACTTTACTGAGAAAGTGATACTTAAGGGAATCAGGAAAAAGAGTCTGTCAGACAAGGAAAAAAAAAAAGAACAATCCAGCAACAATGAAGAGCACATGTAAAATAATGATATCCTAAAGAGATGACTCTTATGGAAAACATGTAAATGAAGTTCAGTGTAACTGGGAATAGGATGAAGTAGGAGACTTGGTTGAAGAGGTAAGTGTGCAAAGGTGGGTATGGAGGAGTAGGGTCAGGTATGCTTAGTGTAGGACCGGAAGATATGGACTGCTTTTATAGTTTGCTTTCAAACTTAATTTAAGGGGACACAGGTGAATATTGCTGTTCAGGTTGATGGTTACTAATAGACCACTCAGCTCTTACAAGACAAACCCATTGGTAAGTAGCTGTCAGGGACAAATACTACCTTTCCTTTGTTTCTACCTTTTCTTCCGTGAGTTTACTCAATTACTGATTTTTATAAATCGCCAAAAATGTCTTTCGGATTTACATTACATAGTTTATTCTGGTTAGATTATCTTGGTTCTTGCTAACACCAAAAATTTTGTATCTATTTTACTCACACTTCTGTTTTTCTCCAATTTCATCTCACAAAGGGGTTATATTTTTTTCTAGCTAACTATGTAATTCCAAACGCCTTGAGGAGCCTGGCCATAATTTAAAACCGTTAAAAGAATTACTTTCCAGTCGTCTCTCTTTCGTTGGCACATACTCAGCTTCACCCTCCCTGTCCATCACCTCTGATTTCCCTGTTCTCTTCCTTTAGTCCATCAGTAGCTCTTTTAATATCTTCCAGCACTTCCTATTATAGTACCTTTATGCATAATAAATAACATCTTTGAGTGAACGTGGTAAATTTCCAAATTAACTTCGTTTGCTCTTTCGTTCTACTCAAATATTAATACGAGGTATGAACAAGGATGGTACCTCAAGAAGCTAAAAATTCAAACTCTAACTCATTTGGCCTTAGTAATAAACACTTGGGAGCAGTCAGGAGCTCATTAAGGTTGGGGTCTTTGCCTCCTCTGCTTCAACTGGGGGCTGGCTCTTCATTCTTGTTCCCTCAAGCCCTCAAGTGTCCGCAATGAAGAAAATGAAGATAGGAAAAAAATGAAAATAGGCTCTTTCCCGCTCTTCAAAAATGCAGCAAACAGTGAGTGCCAAAAGTCTCAGGATGTCTTCGCCGGGACCAACCCGGGGGATAAGAACTAAGTTAAGAAGTCCTTTCTGCTGAAAAAGCAAGGTCACCAAACGCGCACCGATCACTCACTTGGGGTAGGCACCATGAGCAGCTCGGAAAGGTCCGGGTACATGCGGTCTTCTTGCAACTGACGGTCGATGAGCCGCCCAGCATTTTCCAGAGCTTCCTGCAAGGCTGCGGCCGCGGCCGCCGTAGGGGCCGGCGTAGCCGGGCCCAGTAAAGAAGACGGCATCTCTAAAATCAGAGACACAGCGGACACTGTCTGAGACACCAACGTATGGAAAACACCAAAAAAGAAAGAGAAAACCAATAACCCTAGCCGAGAAGCGCGGCTTAGTACGCGCGCGCCAAACGAGCGCCTCGGCGCTTCCGAGTGACGTACTTCCGGTTCATCTGGTGAGGAATTTGAAGACGCCGCTTTGGTTATAGGTAAAGGAAGCGGTTGAGGGGCGTGGACGTTAAGGCGGAGCGAGGGAGCGGGAGACTATTTTAAAGCGGGCTGAGTGCGGTGGCGGAGGGAGAAGTCGAGGGGAGGGAGGAAAGGGAAGGAGAGGAACTGGGGAAGAAGAGGGGCGGATGGTATGGGGTGGGGTGGGAGGGGAGAACAGGGACCGGGTAGGTGGGAGTCGGGTTGGTGTGGCGGACGGCGGAGGCTGCTCTGGTTCCGGCGGATTCAAGCGCGCGCTGGATCTTGGGCCTGGAACTTCGCAAGTCGGAATCCAGCAACCGCAACTTTTTGACAGTTCGTGTCTCAATGTATAAGAGAGTTGGAGCCCTGGTGGCGCAGTGGTTAACAGCTTGGCTGCTAACCAAAAGGTCGGCAGTTCGGAATCCACGAGCTGCTCCGTGGAAACCCTATGGGGCAGTTCTACTCTGTTTTGTCGGGTCGCTATGAGTCAGAATTGACTCGACGGCAACAGTTACGTTTTTTCTTATAAGGAGGTTAGGTGTTGGTAGCCTGTTGTGAGAAACAGGTTATATGTGAGCCAAAATTTCACTACATTCCTCCTCCGTCGTTTTCAGTGTAAATTAAAAGTTATCAGGCCTTTGTGGATTGTTACCGTTTGGATTTGTGTTAAAAATTAGTTTGTGTAGGAGGTATTCATTCATGCAGGAGGGTTGCTGCCCAGCTTAATTTCCCATTATTGCCTCGGGGGAGCAGATCGATTTTAATTCATGTTTTCATCCCAAGTGGATATTTACAAGTCATGCAGTCTAACAGAAACTGAATGCCTATTTTGTGTCAGGCATTGTGCCTGATGCTGGGGATACCAAACTGACAAAATATTCCCTGTCCTCAAGGTGCTTTGTGCAGAGATAGACAGTTAAAATGCATCACGACAATTGTTCTAATAGGATGTGTGTAGCAGAATAATAGAAAAGAAGGAGAGGTAAGACAGCCTTCATTTCATACAGAAGGCAACTTGAGTGGAGGAATCCAGGCATTCTTTGTAAAAGCAGTCCTTATGTAGAATCTCACCTAGGTAAGCTTCATTCAGTTATATTCTTAATAGTTCCTAGGAAGTCTATAACTTGATTACTGTAAAGTGGTCTTTTGCCATTTGAATTACCTTTTACTCCTTCAAATCAGAGGTTGACTAATTTCTGAATATCCAAAGTTTTATGACTTTACCAGTTTTTGTAATTTTAAGACATCATAGGAAATCTACCAGGAAAAATTAGATTCATTATTATTGTTATATAAAAGGTTGCCTGGGTGGCCAAACAGATAAGCAATCGACTTGAACTGAAAGCTTGCTGGTTTGAACCCACCCGGAGGCACCTAGGAAGACAGTGTGGTGATCTGCTTCCTAAAGGCCACCCCCCCCCAAAAAAAAAAAAACCCAACTGTAGGCAAGTCCATTCCAACTCATAGTGACCCTGTAGGACAGAGTACAGCTGCCCCATAGGGTTTCCAAGGCTGTAAATTTTTACAGAAGCAGACAACCACATCTTTCTCCTGTAGAGCTGCTAGTGGGTTCTAACCCCTGACCTTTCTGTTAGCAGCTGAGTACTTAACCACTGTGCCAAACCATATGGAGCAGTTCTACTCTGTGCACATGGGGTCACCATGGATTGGAATAGACTCCATGGCAACTAAAAACAAATTAGGCAGATGGGCCTCCAGCTTTTATTTGCTATATTACAGATTGAAAACTGATGGCCTATCAGACAAAATTTACAATGGGGAGTTTAAACTCGAGAAATTGGATGAGCTAGCAATGTTGCTGTATGCCGTGGAGTTGATTCTGACAGAGTAGAACTGTTCCATAGGGTCTCCTAGGCTGTAGTGGTCCCTCCCTCCTGCCCCAACGCAGAGTGCTTG